GGTTGAAACCTTACCTGGCATTACCTGAAGGATTTGGAGAAAAAAAGAAAAGGGGAGGGAGGAGGAGAAAAAGAATGAGAGGTTCACTTATAGCCCTGAAAAAATTAAATAATTTTTCTCAGCTTGCACAGCTAGGGCGGATGATACTTCTGATCTTGAATGAGCAGCACACGTTGTGTGGCCTGTTGCATTTCAAAATGTGCCACAACCACTCGAGAATAAGACAGGAGCAAACTAGGCTCATGCCCAGAAGGCAGATTTAGGTTAGACACTTGGAGGAACTCACTGGAAACACTGAAAAGCATAAGAGAAAAAAGACTCTCCACCGGGGGAAATCCCTTCTCCCATGAACTTTCTATCTTGCATAAAAAGCATTGTAAACATAGAAGACTTCTTCCAGAAAGAATTGCTTGTCATTGTACCTTGTGCATTGAGCTCCATTTCCCATCTTTCTGGGCCAGATGAAGGCTGTTGGAGAGGTGGGACAAGAAGGGAAGGAACAGGATCTGGTTCTGCTGCTGCAGCCCAAAGCCAGAGCCACGCCCCTCTCCAGACCCTAGCATGAGGTGACACCAGGACACCGAGGCTACAGCAGAGGAGACTGGCTATCTCCTTACTACTCCAAGGCAGGGGAGGGGCAGGAGGCAGAAATGAGGCTGTGAGGGGTCACCTGCTACTTCAGATTGAAGTCACCTAAAAAATCCACATGCCCTAGAGGAGACAGAGAAGGGAAGAAGTGCCCAACCACAGATCTCAGGCAGAGCTAGCTGCAAAGTGGAAGTGGCTTCCAGGCTGACCATTGTTGTAGGGTCATGAGCTTCCCCCCTCCATGCCTTCTTAATCCTTAATTTGACCAGCTCCAGGCCATGGGCTGGAGGGAGATCCAGGCTTCTTGGTCCCAACTTCTTGGATGCCTTGGGATGTCCCATCCATCCTGATCCCCCAAGGAGTTTTCTTTTTCTTTTTAAGACACGGTCTCACCATGTAATTCAAGCTGGCCTCAGGTTCACTTTGTAGCCCAGGCTGGCCTCAAACTCCCAGGAGGCTGCCTCAGCTTCCCGAGTGCTGGGTTTACAGGTATGTACCACCATGTCTGGCCAAGGATTTTTTTTTAGGCCTAACAAAATGTGTATCGCATGTTGTGATAGATAGCTAACTGGATAGTGGTGGATAGTCAACTTCTTACACCCAGCTGAATTAAAGGAGAGTGGTGCTGGGTGTGGGAGGACCACATGAGGGTTGTTGCCAGCAGCATAAAAGGCAGAGGAGGAGAAACTGCCAAAATGCTGTTAGGGAGGCTGTTTGGAGAAGCTATTGGGCCAAGCTGCTAGTTCTCTTGAGCTGTTCTGCTGGAGGACCTGTCGTGCTGGCTTTTCTGACGGACTTTGGAGGAGCTTGGGTCCTTATCTGCGCATCACTTCAGGCTCTGGAGAGGAAGATGGTGCACTGCTCAGCCTCCTGGAGAAGCTTGTCGCATCGGTTTTCCTGATGGGAGCTCAGCTTTCCTCATCGCTGGAGGAGCTCGGGACCTCACTGTTGCAGAGGATGGCTGAGGTGCTTTTCAGGGGAGCTCTGGTCTTACCTTGAGCACCGCTTCCTGGCTCCTGTGCAGATCCCTCAGCCTGCTGGCACAGGTCCTTCACCCTGTTGGCACGGATTTCTTAGCTTCCACCCCTGACCTTTGGGCCTTTCCAGCACAGATCCATGAAGCGGGCCTGCATGAGACCTTGTTGTGGGCTCTGGGCCTATAGTTAGACTTGGAGGAGGCACTGTTATGAGCTCTAGGTTTTCAGGTGGACCCATGCAGTGTCCCGAACCAGCGGGTCAGTCAACGAAGGTCACCTGTGGAGGAGTGGGGAATTGAAGAGGGGACAAAGGACAGGAGATGTGAGAAACGGAGGCAAGACAAAGGTTCTGATCAAGCCTCGTTTATTTAGGGGAGGTTCTGGGTATATATAGGGGGTGATGGAATGAGGAAGTCTCGGCTCTTGGGGGTCAGCAGGTATCTAGGCAACGGGGAGGGTGCAACCCCTAGGGCATAGCACGTGATTCCCAGGGAATGGGCAAGGTGAGAAGGGCCATAAACTTGACTCAGCAGAGGAATAGAATGGATACCGGTTAATGGCCTCCAACAATGCAGGATATTAGGATCCAGGCCCTCAGCTGGAGTCTTTAGTATTTAGTGTGTGGATAGATTTCCTGCACTTGTTGTATATGACTCTTGGGTGATTTTTAAAATAAACTAATATTGGGCTGGTGAGATGGTTCAGTGGTCTAAAGCACCTACTTAGAACAAGCTTAGCAAAGCACAGGGACCGCGGTTCAATCCCCCAGCACCACATGCCAGCCAGCCCCGCCCCCTGGTAGGCTGAGCTGGCCACACACACACACACACACACACACACACACACAAATAAATACAAATTAAAAAAATAAAATAATATTACAAAATGTGTCCTGTATTATATTGTTCCCCTTACAAAACCCCCAAACCACAACATATGTGAAACGCTTTAGAGTTTGCAGAGGGTTTTCTTTATAGTCCCTCAGCTTGGCGTCTGGTGCTCATCCTCACTTCAAGTACCTAGGACAGGTATCATTATTCCCCCGCATTTGCATTTAGATTATGTTTAGAATTACCAGTAGCGGCCGGCCGGCCGGTGCTCACAGAGGCCTTCTGATCTCTTAAGCCCTAGGCACTTTCTCTTGGTTTCTTTAGACAACTTCTGAATCTTTCCAAGCCTTTGCACAATTTAAGCATGGACGCCTAGAGAAACCTCTCATTCCTACCGTTTAGAAGCAAGTTTTAGAAGCTCTGTCTTCAACTTGGGGCCCCAGAAAACCCATCTATGTCCCTGGTGGACAGCTCCCCCCCTCAGGCTTGGTCTGAGGCCCTGGGACGCAGGACTTGTACAATGCCCTGCTAAGCCTCTTAGAGGAGGTGGGTATTAGCAGGATTGGATGTTCTCCCCTGACATGCCCTTCACACTCGACCCTGCCTTGAATTAGGATTCCACGGGGAGTCGGGGGCCGAGGATGGGGCGTTTCCTGCTGTCCAGCTTTGGACCTACTCTTTGAGACCTCGGATTCCGGCAAATTCCCGGGGCTGAGAAGACACTGGATGTCGGGGGTTGAAGGTAAATGTGTGCTTACGTAGGAGGGAACCAGTGGGACTGCCCGCTTGGCTCTGTGAATCAGGCACACAGGGAGGGCCGAGCCCCTCCTGTGTTTCCACAGGTGCACCAGAAGGCTTGCTACAGACTCTGAGTTCAGGGCAGGTTCAGTGGGCCAGAGTGACACGCAAAGGCAGTCAGGGTCAAGAAGGATGTTCATTTCTTATTACTTCTCCTTTTTTCTCCTCCCTCTTTTGTGTTTTAAAACAGCACCCTGAATGTCTACTTAGTGGGGTGCGCTAGAAAGACGGGGAATTAGGAGGCTCATCTTCACAGCCACTTGCTAGCTGCGTGGTGTTCAGCAGTCACATGTCCCCTTTGGACCCCAGCGCCTTTGTGTCTTACATGATGATGGTACCAGGCAGATTCAATGGCTACCCAGCTACTTCTAAGTTACTGTCATGGGCAAATTCAATCATTAGCTACTATTTTTTAGTATCTGTGGATACTGCTTAGAGATTTAATAACTAGTTCGTGGGGCTGGACTTCCGTGTCCTTTAGGAGGATTCCTGGAGCACCTTTCCTGTTCCTTTCCTCCTGCACCCTTGTGTGAAACTGAGCCTATACAGCCCTTGATTCTTTTTGTTTTTTTTGTGAAAGAGTCTCTCTATGGCTGGCCTTGAACTCACTATGTAGCCCAGGCTGGCCTCAAACTCATGGTGATCCTCCTGCCTCAGTCTCCCACACACTAGAATTATCAGCATGTGGCACGATGCCTGGGTAATAGCACTTGATGTTATCCAGTGCTTTTCACAGACCTTCCATGTATTTACTCTCTCAAGATTCTTGTGGTATATTACCACTATTTACACAGGCATTGTTACAAGTCAATTCAATTTGTTTTTTTTGTTTTTGTTTTTTTTTTGGCGGAACCAGGGATTGAACTCAGAGCCTCGCGCTTGCCAGGGAAGTGCTTATTCCACTGAGCCATCTCCCCGGCCCTCAATTTGAATTTAAAATAAGATGCACATGATAAGAAGGCCCAACTAATAGGATATTCAGGGAAAAGTAAGTCTCTTCAGATCTCTAGTTCTGTTTCCCTTTCCTAGACATCCCTCAAAAGATCCTCTCTGCATAATCGATGATCACACCCATTTCACAGATGGGCACCAGGGTCCAGCCTGTGCAGCCTGCAGGGCTGGCAAGCAGCTGAGCTGGGGATCAGGCCTTTGGCTCCTCCTCCATGTTCCTCCAAGTCACACTGTCCAGGAGGCCCACGACATTAATTTTTGAGCTTTGTCCTTTCTGGATGATACAGTCATACAGTCAAATCATTTTAAGACAGCACACAATCTCTCTCTCTCTCTCTCTCTCTCTCTCTCTCTCTCTCTCTCTCTCTGCTGGTTCTTTCTGCCTGCAGCTTCAATCCTGTCTCCCTACCTCCTCATAGCCTTTGCTGAGGTGAGATGTGTGACTGGCTCCAGCCATGGTAGCTGAGCCCCCAGTAATTTAGGCCTGGGCCAAGGATTGGCAGAGCTTCTGTAGGGGCCAAGCAGGACCAGCTCAGGGGTCTTGGCATCTGGGAAGCGGGGTTCAGCGAGGAGACCCACAGGTCCTCTGTCCTGGAACAGCTGCCCTCCCAGCCACAAACAGGATACTTTTGTGTCCCTAGGGCTCCTGTTGTCACCCTTTCCCAAGTCAAAGAGTGTGGAGTCCCAGATTGCCTCTTAGGCACAAATAACTTCTTTTTACCTGCCTAGGCTTATGGATATCCCCAGGGTGGGCTTCATGGAGAAATCTTTCCTGATCACCCTGAATCCCAGAGCAGCTGCCACCTGCCCATGGACAGAATGAGAGGCTTTCTGTGACCACTCGGAACTGGCCATCATGGGGAAACTGATCAGGATCGGGCTGCAGGAGAGGCGTTTACCCCGGCCAAAAAGGCTTCGTTGGAGTCGCCTCCTCTTCCTCCTGGGGATGTTGATCATCGGTTCTACCTATCAGCACCTGAGGAGACCTCGGGGTCTGCTCTCGCTGTGGGGGGACGTCTCTTCCCAAAAACCTATCAGATTGGCCAGCCGGGACCTCCCCAGCGATGAGACGATGATGGTGACCAGTAAGCCTCCACCAGCCAGCTCTGAAGTGGAGGGTGAGACGGCAGTACCCCAAGCCTCCGTGGGCAGGGATCCAGCACCGCTCAGCATGCCAAGGGCTAGCACCCCGAGTCCACCCAGGAGAACAGCCAAGCTCATCACAATGACACCAGTGAACAATCATAGCCCAACAGCAGCCAGCACAGAAAGAGGGAAGGAAAACACCCCAACCACCAGAGTTCTGAGCCACTATGCCCCATCTTCAGGCAGACTAATGGTGGAAAACCATACCCAGACACCCAGGGAAGAAATGAAGAGCTACCGCCCGACTCAAGCCAGGAGAAAAGGAAAGAAGCCCACCCTCTCCCCAGCCAGGGCAACAGCAGACACTTACGCCCCACCCACAGTCACCACGAGGGAAACAAGCCACAGAGTCACCACCAGAGCAACGGCGCGAGACAGCGAAACCATGGCAATCTATGAAGTATGGGAGGCCAATTCACCTAAGAGAAGAGCAGATGAAACCACCCCCACTACGTTCCCGGGAATAGTTATGAACACCCCAATTTTCCGAACACAAAGGGCAAAAACAAGCACCTTGCCCTCCCCAAGTAATTTAGTGGAGAAAGATGCCCTGAGTAGCCCCAGAAGCGGGGGAACTAAGAACTCTGCCAGTCCCTGGACACCAGTGGGAAACAACAAGCTGACAATTCCTTGGGGAGAAGCCTTGGAGAACACCTCGACCACTTCCAGGGGGCAGATAACAATCATCACGGTGACAGGGAGCAGCCCAGTGAAAACCCAAGCTTCCACTGCTGCTGGAAGTGTTAGGAACCCCCCGCTGCAACCCAGGGCACCTGCCCCTAGAACAGCCCCGGTCACCCACTGGGAGCTGGCAAAGGAACCTCCGACAGCACCGCGCAGTAGCTCTGTAGCCCCCAAAGTTAGGGCCACTCTGACCACTCGGGTCCAGCACTGTGTGGTTGTGGAGTCAGCTGCAGCTGCACCCAGCACCCCATCCCACAGCCCCACGATAGCCTTGCTCCCAGAGGCACCCGACCCTAGTCCCTCGGCAACACTGCCTGGCTGGCCAGACCCGCACCCCAAGGCAGAGTATCCCCCAGACCTGTTCAGTGTGGAGGAGCGGCGGCAGGGCTGGCTGGTTCTGCATATCTTTGGCATGATGTACGTGTTTGTGGCCTTGGCCATCGTATGCGACGAGTACTTTGTCCCAGCCCTGGGCGTCATCACAGAGAAGCTGCAGATCTCTGAGGATGTGGCAGGTGCCACATTTATGGCTGCTGGAGGTTCTGCCCCGGAGCTCTTCACCTCCCTCATTGGGGTCTTCATTTCCCATAGCAACGTGGGCATCGGTACCATTGTGGGCTCTGCCGTATTCAACATCCTGTTTGTCATCGGCACCTGTGCCCTCTTCTCCCGGGAGATACTCAACCTTACCTGGTGGCCACTGTTCCGTGATGTCTCCTTCTACATCCTCGACCTGTCCTTGCTCATCGTCTTCTTCCTGGACAGCCTCATTGCCTGGTGGGAAAGCCTCATGCTGTTGCTGGCCTATGCCCTCTACGTGGTCACCATGAAGTGGAACAAGCAGATCGAGGTCTGGGTGAAAGAGCTGCTCAGCAGGAGGCCGGGAGCCAAGATCCTGGCCCTGGGGGACCTCAGCAAGGTAAGGACGGGCTGCTCAAGTTTCTCTGGGCTTCTTTGGGTGAGAGGGCAGGGAAAGCTCAGGACTAAAGAGCAGAAAAGGTGGCTTAGACCTCAAGAGATGGGTGCTCGGGGTTGTTGGCTATTTCGAGGCTTCCCCTACTCATCTATAAAGTGGTTGTTATTATTGTGATCCTCATTTGCACGAGAGGAAATTTAGGCCTAAAGAAATTAACTGTTTGCTCCACGTCACATGGCAGACAGGCAGTAGAGCTAGGATTGGAACCCAAGCTGGTCTGGCTAGATCTTTGGAAATGACGCTTGAGTTGGGCTTTGGGGGAAGTCCAAGAGATACCAGGCAGGGAAACACAATTGTCTTTTCCACGTGCGTGGGGTTCAGGGATTATGCAGCACCCTTACTTTCATTTAATCGTGTCCAGACTTGTGTACTAGGGAGGGGGTATTTGGCTTGGATGGGGTCTGGGAAAAGGCGGGGGCTTTAAATTTTTATTTATTTATTTTATTGAGACAGGGTCTCATACTCCAGTGTAGGCTAGCCTTGAACTCACAGCGATCCTCCTGCCTCAGCCTCCCAAGTGCCAGGATTACAGTCATGCACCACCACAACTGGCTAATTTTTGTTTTTTAATACTGGGAAAGGTGGGAGCTGTATTCATCCACGAACAAGTTGAACCCTGGGGACAGGAGCCCTCTCTGTGTGTCCTGGAGCCCAGATACTAGGACACCAATCCTAGGGCTTCCTGACCCTAAGAGTTCTCTGCCCCCTTGCTGAGCAGCGCTAACTGGACTAGATGATTCAGTAGCCAGAAGATGAGATTAAATTGGCCGAATAATTTCTGAAACTTTATTGCAAAAGGTTTCATTCTTTGAAACTCTGGAGGGAGGGTGCCCTAGGGAACGGAGAGCCCGTGTCTGTCCTGCTCCTTGCGTGCAAGGAGTGCAAGGACTTAGCTTCTTAATCCAGAGTAGTTTTGATGAGTGGGCAGGACAGAGGCCAAGTGCGGCAGCCATGTCCGAGAGGGATGAGGGCGGAGAGAGATGGAGTGCATTTCCTGTGGAAGTTTCGTAATACGATGCTCAGGTCAGAATACCAACTCAAGCAGGGAAGCCAGGATTCTAGCCTGATTCCACCTCTAATTAACTGTGTGAACTTGGACAGGTCCAGCTTGTCACCTAAAGGTCCTATCCGACTCTGACAATCTGTGATCACGTCCTGTGTCCAAGAGATTTAGTTTGGGCAGGATCCAGGACAAGGGTCCTTTGTGCTGATGGATTGGACTCTTCGGCCCGCTTTGCAGATGGCCAGGAAGGGAGATCCGTCCTGCCCAGGGCCACAGAGCCAGCCAGAGTCGCACCCCAGCTTCCTCTCTCCTCGGTCTGCACTGTTGCCCATGTGACTGCTGCTCTAGGAAGCCTCAGGCTTAAAAAGAAGGGGAGACTCAGAGAGTTGCAGACTCTGAAGATGAAGATGCTGGATCCTCCTTCCTAGTGAAACGCCAAGGCTGGCCGGGCTGAGAGACTCTGATCTCTCCTCTGAGCGAAGTCATGACATGGACCGGACCAGCAGCTCTCAAAATGCCTCCGTTGCCTCTCGCTCCTTCGTAGTAATGCTGCCTTCATTTAAACTCCACACATCCTGGGTTTCCTATTTTATCAGCGTTAGACCCTCAAAGCGAACTTGCCAAGCAATTGAAGTAGAATGGTGACTTTAAGGCGAATATGTGACCTGCCTGAGACACTGCAAGGGCTTTGGTAGCAGCTTTTTGCCAAGCCGTAAGCAGGGTGCTGACTGTGTTCTTAATTATTTGTAGAAACAGATCCAGGATGATTTTTAATTGGCATCATTGTTTTTAATTAGCAAGCTGAATTTCTGGCTATCCTCAAAGCAATTCCATGTGTATTTAGAATTAAATACCTGTATGTATTCAGGATTTACCATTACTACCACCTACCTATTAAAAAGTCCAAATAACTGAAGAATGATAGATTTTTATCATCATCATTTGGTTTGATTGATTGATTGATTGATTGATTTTACCAGGAATCAAACTCGGGACCTTGTGCTCGCCAGGCAGGCATTTGTGCTGCTGAGGTATATTCCACGGCTCAATCATTTGTTTATTTTGAAGACGCGGTCTCCCTTTGTAGTTCAGGCTGGCTCAGAACTATGTAGCCTTGGGGCCGGGGAGATGGCTCATAGAATAAGCGCTTGCCTGGCAAGCATAAGGACCTGAGTTCAATCCCTGGTTACACACGCACACACACACATCACGTCACACACACACACACACACACACACACACACACGAACTATGTAGCCTATCTTAGTTTCAAACTCACAGAAATCCTCCTGCCTCAGCTTCCCACAAGCTGGGATTACAAGCATGTGCCACCACATTTTGGCACCATTACCCATTTTTACATACTTGTGGACTTGAGTTTCACCCCAGAGTTTCTTATATCTAGAAAGAGGAAACTTTTTGTTTATATTTTTTATGTCTATGTCCGGCTGGCCAACACCTATGATTTGGTTAGAGGAAAATAAATTATACCTCATTTTCCTGGAAATCTCGCAGCAAGACATTGAAGTCTGAATTCCTGAAGCCATTCTGTGAAGACCCAATCTTTGATTTAGTAAACTGTGATGATTTTCTTTCTTTTCTTTTTTTGTGGTTTAATGTGTGTCCCCAACCCTGCAAAGTGATTGAACTATGCAGCTTTTTAAAAAAAAATGTATTTAGCACAGGGGCTTGCTATGCAGCTTGGACTCATAGTGATTGATCCTATTTTGAGCCTCCCTAGCGCTGGGATTACAGGCGTGCATCGCCGCACCCGGACTTGGTGGCCATCTCGGGGGCCTGATGAACACACCTACGTTAGCTCCTTCCTCACATTTACTTATGGTTACAATCTCTCCCTGAAAAATGGGTTGCTTGTGGGGAAGGCAGGGCCAGGAAAACTGGGCTTCTCTAGTCACTCCCAGCTACGAAGATGAAGTCAGAAGAAGGGCGTGATGAGGACGGAGCAGCAGGGCTGTGGGCTGGGTATAAAGTCGCAGCCACAGCTGCTTGGAGAGTCAAGAGCAGGGACAGAGGGGGGACAGCATGTTGGAGGGAAACGGACAGAAGGACGCCAGGGCTTTCTCCCTCCTCTGCTGCTAGCTTGGGCCGGTGTGCAGGAGGGATGACAATTTGTCAGATTTGCGACTGGCACGCAGCATGGCATATCTCGCCAGGGGCTGAGCCTCACATCTCACTCCTAGCAGAAGCTCCAGAAGTATTTGCTTCGTTTTCCTCAGAAACACTAACAGCCCAGGCTTTGGAGTTTCTAGAGAAGAGATGGAGAAGGAATCTATGCTTCCAGCGGGTCTTTCCCATACATTCAGGGTCAGTGAACTCTCACAAGGCCTTACAAGATTAGATTGTTTCCTTCCTTTGCAGATGAGAAAACAGGCTCAGAGAGGATGATTCGCTCAGCCCAGGTCACACAGCTAATTAGCTGTGGTCCTTGTTACCGGTCATAAATCAGGGTGTCTGGATTTAACCCAGGCCCTACTGCTAACTCCTGGTGCTGCGGGTGGGTCAGGACGGTTGACACACCACTTGTTAGCAGCTCGACAAATCAGATGACTATAAATAATCCAAGGGAAGGCCCAAGCATGGAGAGCATTAACTGCAACGATGTGAACCCTGCGCAGAGTGCTACAAATCACTTTGCTTTCAAAGAGACTTTGGATCTGTGGAGCAAATGGGATGAGGTAGTGCAGAGGTTAGCAGACCTGTAAGGGCCAGATGGTAACTATTTTAGGTTCTGCAGCCACACAGTCTTTGTGATGCCTGCTCAGTGCTCTCTGTAGGGAAAGCCGTGGGCAAGGCCGTGGGCAAAAGCAACACGACACAGGTGTTCTCCGCCAGAACAGCCAGCGGGGGCCGCAGCCAGTAACTCCTTTCTTACTTAGCATTGACCCAGCCGATTGCTATCTGTGGAGTTCCTGAGCTGGAGGACCTTTTGCTCCACTCTTATTTTATTTATGTATTT